TCCGTTATCTGCTTTTAGTCTACTCCTTGTTGCTTCGTATATGTCCCCACCAGCACTAAATAACCTTTCACTTTCTATTGATGACGGAGGTGCTGTAAGATATTTTAATACCATCTTTTTTAGTTTTTCAAATTGCATTCCACATTTACTCCACCGCAAAAATGGACAACCTTTATTTTCTAAAAGAGGCAGAGATAAATAGTTGTCTATTTCTTGAGTAATTGCAGACCTTAATATTGTTTGCTTCTTAATTATGTCAGTGGTAACAACTTCAATATCTACTAATTCTCTTTCTGCCTCAAAACATCTTTTACTCTGCTTTCTTCTGTTCTCATAGAAGCTACATCTTTAAAACAATCATCAATGCTAATGAATCCATTAGATGCTGGAGCTTTTACTATTGGAGCATCGTCGGAGTCAGAGTCAACAACATTTTGCGCTCCTTGCATTTCTTTCCATGCTTCTTCAACCCACTCCTTAATAACATTTTCATCTGCATGTTGATAAAGTAATTTATATCGTGGATCCAAAAATGTTGATACACATAACATTTTATTAAGCAAAAATTTATCAAGTCTTTTAGTAACAGATTTTATTAGTTCATCAATCATCGTCATAATCCCAGCGTATATATCACTTGATGAAGCTTTTTGTAATAAAACTTTTAAAGCAAGAACAGATGGTATAATTAGTGCAAAAGTTTCGTCCCTCCTACCACATTTTTTTGTTAAGTTTTCAAATGGAGCAAGAATGTGAACAAGTTTTTTGACTACTCCCCATTGATAATTAGTAGGAAGTCTAATTTCATCATATTCTGCTGCATAGGTGGCTAAAGGAACTTTTTGTTCAAACGCTCATTGTAGCATTTCAAATGAACTGTTCCAGCGACTTGGAACATCTTGTTTCATTTTGTGAGGTACAGTACTTAACTGCTGCTGAATTGATTTTAATTTTGCACATGCTATTGGTGAATGATTAAAATGTGTCGTTATTCCTCTGCATAAAGTTAAAATCTCCTTGATGGTTTCTTGGCTAAATATAGAGTCATGAATAGATAGCTGCAAAGTATGGATAAAGCATGGAATTGATGACATTCCACTGTTTTTTACTTCAGCTTGCATTATCGGTACAATAAGATGAACTTTGCTTAACAGGATTTCAAAAGTTTCTAAACCTTTTTGTAAATACTCTTTTATATGAACACCTGTGTGCTTTTGCGGAAAATGAATTACTCGAAGAACAGCAGTTTCTTGGGAAAATTTAATTTGATCTATCCAATGTCCAGTAATGCCTTAAAATGCGATTTTTGCAGTATCCGCTGTCCAAATATCTGTCGTCAGAGACAAATAGTTTGCCGCAGAGATTTTTATTTTTTTATCTTCAAACAGTTTATCATACATGCTAGGGATTACGTTTTGGCTGAAATATGTTCTACATGGTAATTTGTTTTTGGGGTAAGCATCTTTAATCAGTTCATTAAACCCCATATCTTTAACAATAGACAATGGCTGAATATCCAATGTGATAAGTTTTCCTATTATTTTATGGATTTGAATAGATCTGTGGTCATCAATATTCCACTGTTGCTGTTTTTTTGTGTAAAACCTGAATAATGTTACTTTGTGCTGTATTGGTGATAGAAGCAACTGAGGCTTCAGAAATAGACGGCAATGATTGAACTTTTTTTTTTTTCTTCCGCAAGTTCAAACTCTTTGGAATGCTTTAAACACAAATGTTTTACCATTGCTGTAGTTCCATAAGACTTGAAAGATTTTCCTCCTCTCGTAACTAAACTATCACATAGTTTGCACTTACTCATATGAGGAGTCGTGCTTATATCAAAGAACTTCCACGCTATACTTTTTTTTGTCATAATTTTTCTTTCAAATAAAATTTCTATAAAGATAATAAAACTAGTTTTGATATCAAAGTTTTCGTTTATTTTATATAAAACAATAATTTTTTTAATAATACGCTCGAAATTAAAATATAAAAAATGTGTATAATATTTACCTTATATCTCTACTTTTATGATTTTTGCTTGATACGAATGAAAAGTGCTATCAGCGTTCGAAAGCATTATAAGCGTTTCATTCAAAACTAAATTGCTAAAAATTATCTTGTGTTCCAACAGAATAAAAAGAAGCTATTCAAAAACTTTTTCTCATTCTTTTTATTCGTATTCTCGAATTATTTCATTTAGAGTTACAGTTTTTGTATCCGTATATATTTTTTTACAAAAATGTATTAAAAAATACTTTAAGTGAGATTGTTTTAAGTTAATAGAACTTTGTGGTTATCGACTACATAACACTCTTAGACTTATATCAAGAAGTTTAATGGTTAAAGTTTAAACTATAGGAAAAATCAATTTGAAGATACCCGGTGCTGGGTACTGCAACAAAATGGCCGATACCGGGTACCCGGTAAAACAGCGGAATTGCCAGGTCCCCGGGTCCGAACCGGGTACCCAGCACATCACTAATTTTAAGTCAATCAGAATGCTTAATTTGAATTCACGTTGATGAAATATGGATTAGGTTACAATTGGATTAAAATGCAAAAAGTTTTGATTGGATTAAAATATGAAATGCTAGGCATTTTTAAATAAAAACATTAACATTTTAAAAATACTCTAATTTAAGTTTTTTCTCAGATTACGTTTTCATAATATAATTTTCAAAGCGATTAAACTATATGAGCTTTAAACTTTTTCATTTCAAATAACATTAAAATTGCATTAAAAATATTCTAAATAATAAAACAAATAAAAGTTTTTAAGACATAATATCTTTGTAATAATCATGCTAAAAAATTGACTTGAAAATTAAGAGTAGAACAAGAAAAAAAAGTTATGAAAGAACTTAAATTTTGAATGAATTGACCTTGTAATACAATAAATACGCTACGTAATAATTCTTTTTAGTCTATATAAAAGAAACATACAAATATTGTTTATAAAATGTTATAGTTATCGCTTGTTTATGAAATAATATTCTTTATATTAAGCAAATAATTCTTTATAGTAAGTGAATAAAGCAAGTAAATAAAAATTAGCAGCAAAAAAAAATAAAGGTCCTCTTAAGGCAAGATTTTTAGACCGGTATTCCCAAAAAAATTTTATTAGTTCAATGCTTGAGTTAAATGACTCTTGTCTTTGAAAAACACCATCATAATGATTGAATATGGTTTTTTTAACAATGCAACTACTACCTGGTAAGCATTTATTCCTTTTTTTACATCAATTGTTAATCTGTTAGTAAAAGTATTGTAATTTAATAAGTTTTTTATCTGCAGAAATGACATTTTCAGCTGTTGTACCTAGAGGGCAAAATTATCAAATAAATTATTCTATTTAATTTTAAAGCTCTATCAAAATTTTCTAACTAATTTTGAGGGTTTAAAGAGGTCATCGCCTTCATCCAATGGGCAGATTTCTGTTGATTTTGTGAAACTCCTACTTTTGCAAAATAATTAACAATCTTTGAGGTTTTCATTTTTTGAAATGCAAGATCAAGCATTTTTATTGTCTAAATTCAAAAAAACATCTATTTTTTTTATCAATAGCTACAACTAGGTTTTGCAATGCCAAAGATCTGTAATGAACTTTCAAAGAGCATATAACTCCCTGATTCATTGGTTGAAGTTTAGATGATGGTATTTGGTGGTAAAAAAATGAGCTCACTATATTTTAGACTATCAATCATTGGAGAGTTATCTATTATAAATACTCCTTTTTTTTCTCTTTTGTAAATTTTGCATCCATATATATCCAGTATGCAATCCATCCAGGTGTTATTTTGATTTCTGTACCTGCAAGGTAAATGCCTAACACCTTGCTGCTTCAACTTCTTTGAAGCAGCAAAGTGATTTTGTTTGGACTTTATAACCTGCTACATTTGCTATAGCTATACCAATAAGACAAACTTTATTGTGCTTTTCCTCTATACAAGCCTCAGCTAGAGGTATGCAAACCTTAGATCAAGTTTATACTTGGATAAAATTGTAGGGATAGTTGTTTCCTTCCATGGCATCGTTTTCTACTTTTTACAAACAAGATAACCTAACTTTGCAAATGTTTCTTCTTTAAATCTTATACTATATTTGTATTCCCTTGCTCCTTTATAGATTCAAAAATTTTTACTTTATTTTTGATTTAAGTTTACAGTTTATATTTTGGAATGCCACATTTCATAACAACCTTGGACTTAGACAATTCATTTCAGAATTTCTTTAAAGCAGCATTCTTTTTTTTGATGGATTTGTGCTAATACTTTTTTTTGAAGCAACAGTAGCAATTGTAAAATAAAAATGCAACAACTTTTGTTTTAATGAAAACAAAATGTTGTATGAACTGGAATCTAATACGTTTATTACTTATCTTATGTAGTCCTTTAAATGGTGATTTTTTTTTCTCTTAAAGACAGACTTTTTTCAGTCCACAACAATGGTGAAAAACATTTTCATTAGGTATATGGTTATAATTTATATTTAGTATCGTATACTCTTCAAAGTTTTGGAATATTACTTCATATAATATAGTAAATTTTATTTATAAGAATTTTTTTTTTAATTTGACATTATTGAAGTAATTTTATTGTGATATTACCACTAGGAGGATTACCACCCGGGGTTTACAAGCTCCTCTAATCTTACTCACAACTGGGGTTTTATATAAAAGTTTTCCTTTTTATAAATAAAAAATACACTGTAATGCTTTACAATAATGCAATACTTGCTTAAAAACATGTTCACACAGCTGCAATTTACTTGCTAGTTCGATGAATACGCTAAAATTCAGTTTATTACTTAATTTGATGAACGCTTAATGTTGGCATAAAGGCATAGATAAATAATTATTATTAATTAGTTTAATTACTGTTATTTGAATTAATGAAAATTTAACATTTTTCAATTTCAAAAAAAAAACTATTGTTAGAATTTCTACTAAATTAGTATAAAACAAACTTAACATTGAATAATAACATGTTTTTTCTTACATTTTTTAACCATCCATTTAATCCAGGGATAGGTATGCAACAATATGTAAATCGCTGCAAAGTTACATTTCTGGCACTTTCATAATTGATTTCATTATCATGCTAAAAATGAATATATATATATATATATATATATATATATATATATATATATATATATATATATATATATATATATATATATATACATATATATATGTATATATATGTATATATATGTATATATATGTATATATATGTATATATATATATATATATATATATATATATATATATATATATATATATATATATATATGTATGTATGTATGTATGTATGTATGTATGTATGTATGTATGTATGTATGTATGTATGTATGTATGTATGTATGTACATACTGTGCTTAAGTACATATATAAATTAAGGGTTTGTGAATCTACATATAGAGGACAGCAAAAAACCTTTTGCTTTCATTACTCTTATTCTTTGTTTTCTTTGTATGAAAAAGTACAGGATTAAAGTCAACAACTTAAAAGTGGCTAAAATAGACTAGTGACTAGAAAGTAAATACCATAAACATACATGACAATTGATTGTATCAGTAAAACAACCAAGTTGTATATTCTAAAAATAAAATAAAATTATTTAAATATTTTATATACAAAAGATTTTTGTAAATATAATAACTGAATAAAAAAATTAATAATTATTTTAAATTAATTAAATTTGTTCTAAATAATTTTAATTCTTACATTTTCTCCTGAAATTTTGTTAATAGTTTCATACTGTCCAAAATAAAATTCTGGGTCAAACATATCTTGCACCATTGCTTTAAATCTTACCAGGGAATTAGGTGGTATTAACTCCAATGGTACCTCATTAATCAATGGTATCTGTTATTAATTAAAAAATATTAAACTAAATATGTATATTTTAACCATATATAGACAGCTGTTTTTTTTTTAAAAATTAACATATATATATATATATATATATATATTAATATATATATTAATATATATATTAATATATATATATATATATATATATATATATATATATATATATATATATATATATATATATATATATATATATATATATATAATTATATATATATATATATATATATATATATATATATATATATATATATATTTATATATATTTATATATATATATATAGGTGTAAACACCTGTGTGTATATATATATATTTTTGTTTGGTTACCTTTAATTTTCATGAAATGTCACTTTGTTATTTTTTTAAAAATTAATTTAAGAACAAGAAAAATTTAGAATTTTATTCATTATTTGATAGACTTGCCAAACCAAACCTCATTTGATGTTGCAGTTGTAAAATAGTGAAATGTAAATTAAGTGAAATATGTAAATTAAGTGAAATTATATGAAAACTTTACAAATGATTAATTTAAAAAAAACTTAAAGAATAAAAATTATTGTCAAAAAGAATTAATAAAAATGCACTTTTTCCATTTTTAGGGGCCCCTTAGAAGGTTTTTTATTTAAAAAATTATTTTAATCCAGTGTTTTTTTATCATATAGAACACATTAAGGGAGTGGCAGCATATTTTAATTAAGAACAAATCTAATATTTTATAAAATGAGCAAAATAAAAATATTTATTTTATAAATAAAATAATACTGCATTGCAAAATTCAAGGTATTATACAAAAATTAAGTGCAAGTAAAATGAGTGTCTTCCTCAACTGTATTATTAATAATAACTGAATTATTTTATGATATAACATAAAATAGAGGCAGACAAAACCAACAAACAATTAACTAATTTAATAAGTAATTAGTATCTGAGAAAAAAAAAGCGAAAAAAACGAGGAAAAAAAATTGCGTTAACTTTTGATCTTACTATGCTATGATTTTACACTTTATTTTATTTTTTTTAAAATTGAAAACTTTGTTTATTACAAAGAATAAATTAATTCTTATAAAGTGAAAACATTATGAGAGGTGCAAAATCATTTATGAAAACTAAAATCCTTTATTCCTTTTCATTCTTCGTTAAAATTAAAAACATGTAAAGCATGTATAGATAATAAAAACAATAAAGCAATGTCATGCCTAAAGACTTGCGCCTTAAAAAAGTTTTTAAAACATTCAAAGGCATCTATTTTGAAATTTGTCAAGACAAACATCTTTGTCATAGACTTGCCATGATAAAACAAGACTAAGTCTTAAAAACATAAAAAAGATCACTCAAGATAAGACATCAAATCTCAAGATAATTTCACTGAATACTCTAGCATTTTGATTTGAGTCATTAAAAAAAATTCCAAATTTTTACAAACAAAAAAATTAGTTAAAACTTATTAGTATTATCCTAAATTTTAAAATGGAAATTAATAAAATAAACTACTATAATATTGCTCATAAAATCCATAATTATTGTTCATGAAATACATAAATTACTATTTGCTTACATCTTAAACATAATAAAATTGACCTTTGTATAATCATCTTTAAGTAAACTTCTAAAATGATTTGAAATATCCTCTAGTCTGTTAAGAATACCAGGATCGCTATCTAAAAAGAGAAGTAAACATAGTATAATAAGTAAATGATAACAATAATTATATATTGAAAAAAACCACATGCCACATTTTTTCAATAATAGATTTTATTGCAAAAAATCTTCCTAAAGTTCAGTATCTATGTTATTCTGTAAAAACCAGACACGTACCATAGTACTTACAATTGAAATAAATACACGTTTCTTAAGTTTAAGAAAAATAAAGATTTATTTTAATTTACTAAGTAAATTGCTTTTCTAACATGCATGGTTTTTTCGCAGATCACAATTCATTTGTAAAACAACATTTAGTCAGATCTTGACCCAATCAGTATTAAAGAATATAATATAATACTATTACAAATAATATTTTAGTATACAATCTAGTTTGTATATATGTATAGAGGTTAAAGCTGCTGCCATTTGCAAATAGTCAAAAGTACTTTTACCTACTTTTTACAGACATCACTGGGCAACTACTAAGCTGCCAATCAAACAATGTGTTAAGATACAGCTGACTTTAAAGTCTCTATTGTTGGTTGAAAAAAAAGGTATTAAGTAAACCTATATTTCTATGTATAACTTAACAGCAACAACAATTTTTTACAGCTTTTTTTTTTTTTTGTAGTTTTGATTTTCTTGTTGTCTTTATCTAGAGCAACTCCAACTTATCTAGAGCAACTCAAATTGGTTTTAATATTTTCAACAAATATTCTGCATTTCACTTTATCTGTATGTCACATACTTTTCTACCAATTGTGGAATCCAAGTCTCTATTTTTTTACAAAAAATGTGAAAACGATGCTCCAGTCATTGATATATTTTTTAAGTGAACCATATACAGAACTCTAGCGTGTTTCAGTAGGATGTGGTAATTTTGTTCCTCCACTTTCTCTATAATTTGCTATAGCTAGACGTTTATTTCCTATATATTTTATTATCTGTGTAACATGTTTTTTTTTTAGTTTACTCACATTTTCAATGCTAAAATCATTTGCTAAAAGATTTAGCATATGAGCAGCATACCTATAAGTTATTATTATATCTCCTTCAGATGACAATACTTTTCACATTAATTTCATATTATCTGACATATTGCACTGAGAATGGCAGTCACAAAACTTTTTACCGTCCATCCAAACTTGTGTTACAAATTCTATTACTTTTCTTGTCACTTGTGTAAGATAATCACTAGTATGGGAATGATCATAAGTACTAATTGTTTCTACTAAAATATTAAAACTATCTGAAATTACACCAACACAAATTATTCGTTCATTATGCACATTACTCCATCCATCTAAAGTTAATGCTACAACTTTCCCATCCAATACATTGCTTTTTTCAATTTCTTCTGTGTAAACCTTATCAAATATTGCTCCTCCAATTTAAGTTCTATTAGGTAGAGTGTAAGCAGGATGAAGCATATTGATAAACTCTTAGTGTTCAACCGTTCTAAAGCTAGAGTTTGTACTGTATATGAATATCTCAAGTTGCAGATCAAACAAATCTTTCCATTTGCCGCTTGTTTGTGTGAAAAACTTATATATTTTAAAACATTTACCAACTTAAGTTGAAGTGGACTGAGACCTTTTTATTTTTTTTAGTGATGTTGATGATGAATTACCTGAAAATGAACATGCAGTATATTAATTTTAAACTAATGATGATACATTAGAGTAATTTGGAGTAATACAAACATATATATTTTTTAAAATTATTAATCTATAAGTTTAAATTTTAGGAAAAGTAAATAATTTGTATTTGGGAAGCAGTAATTTAATTAATTACCTTCAGAAAGTTGTTGATCTTCTATTGACTCAATAACTTCAAAGAGTTGTGATTGTTTGCATTTCTCTAAATGTTCATGCATCCTTTAAACTTGACCTTCCATTTCTTTTCTGCATGCATTACAAACTGTTATACAGCCCTTTCTTTGTGGAACTGTAACTTGCATTTATTTTAACCAAATCACAACACTTGCGCCTAGTGTTTTGAGACATTTTTTGGAATATCAGTAAATTTTATGTTAGTGAACATATGTAGGTGTCTACATATATACAAGGAATAACCCTAATTATTGTACCGCTAGAGCATGGGGGCTTTTTTATTAAAAGATTGTATCCCCAAATAAAATTTAATTTTGTCACACATATATAAATCAATCTCTCTCTCTCTCTCTCTCTCTCTCTCTCTCTATATATATATATATATATATATATATATATATATATATATATATATATATATATATATATATATATATATATATATATATATATGTCAATGTTTTTAAGCACTAGATTCACTTTAAATTCAAAAAGAAGCAATTTAAGTTCTTACAACATGAAGATCAGATTCAATTTTCAGTTCATTGAAAAAAGAAAATTTTGTCTTAATTTAAAATTAAATTTTTGTTTTTGTCAAAAACATTACAACCTTTTGAGCAACTTACACAACCAGAGGCAAGCAACTTTGCTGGTATTAGTATCGGCTGATCAAGTTGCTCAGTTTGCAGCCGATTGCTATCACTGTCAAAGTGATAGCTGATTGCTATCACTTTTAGTTTAAAGCCATTATTAGAACAAAGAATGTTGTAATCATGGCTTTAAAATCTATGTATGTAGTCTAGTATGTAAATGTTACAGTACTTATAACACTTACAATTATATCTACTATAATTCTATAGGTAAATTTAAAATCTTACTCTGGCTATTATAACAAATAAACCTGACTTAAATATAATCCAAAACTTCTGAAATTAAATTGTGCTTTACTTGTTCTAAAAATATTCTTAAAGTGAAAAAGTTAAAAAAATCAAAGTATAAATTTTAAAAATAGATTTCAAAGATACTGCATTTAAAGATACATTGCATTTCCCAAATTTGAAATTATATGTTTGTTTACAAGGTGCAAGGTTGTAAAAAATCTTAATAGTTTTTATAAATTAAATTTAAATCAGATAGCCGTATAAATACAATGATAAAATAATATAATAAAATGACTCAACACGACTACTACCTAATGCTAATGCTATCATTACACTTATACTGTAATACTATCATTATTATCAATATTGGGCATTTCCGAAAAATCATTGTCTATGATTTTAATAATAATAAAATTGCTAATCTCCAATTTAATCTCATTTGATCCTAACCTATGTAAATATTTTTTAAACAAAGTATTCATTAGTAATGTTATTGAAGTATAAATTAGGTTTGAAGCAGAATGACTTACAGAACAGAAAAACGCAAATTTTAGCTACTAAATAAATAAACTTTAATTTCTCCAAAACATAAGCTTCAGCAGTATTCTTTTAACTAATATTTTAAATATTAGTAAAAATTGCTTGCGAGTATTTCAAGTGAAATATTATATCTCTATAACTCACATTTAATATATTACCAATGCGAAATAGTAGTAAGTCATAAAATATTTCTATCTAGAGTCAGTGGCTATTCTAGACCGTTTTCAACAGCGTCGACCTTATTTGGGCGCCGTCCAAATAAAAAACTGAGGAATTTTTTGTTTTTTTGTTTTTTATGGCAAATATTGTTTTTTTCTGCTAAATTTCCGGGACAGAAAGGTACCGCCGCCCATATTTTTTTCCTAGAATAGCCCCTGAGAGTATTATTGTAAATCTGAGAAAATTATTGTAAATCATATAAATATTCAGGTAGCCTAAAATATGTAAAAAAAAAATTTTTGCTAGTTATTCTTGAAGAAAATTGTAATAATATGCATATTGCTATAAGTCTCAGGTTCTAATTGTAAACACAAAGAAAGATAAAAAATCACGCACAGAAATGGAGATGCCCACTTATTATAAAAATTTTGTATTACTACTATATTTTCTATATTACTACTATAATTTTCTTTCTGTTGTTGCTTTAATCAACATTATAGACATCTTGAAAAACATCACTAACCTATAGATATTCTTGTCTATTTTATTATAATATTATAAGATTTATATTATAATATAATTTTAAGCAATTTTTAAACATTTTGTGTTTTTATTTTTCATAATACTTTCTATATCAATCAATTTTTATCTGTTCTAAAATAATTTTTAGAAAAATAATTGCCTGAAAGTTCTAAATTACAAAATGGAAAAAAGAAGCTAGTTCTAATATAAAAAACAATTATTCAAAACACTTGCTAACTATATGTTATGAGCAATTGCTAAGAGCTATTGCTCATGACATATCTAAAGCTTTTGACAAAATTTGGCATGCTGGTCTTCTCCATAAGCTTGCTTGTTATAGTGTATCTGTAAAAAAAGCTCTTTTTGCTGATGACTCAACTTTATACTCCTGTCTTTTTGAGCGTTTAGAACAGGCAGCTAATCTTGAATCTGATCTCATTTCTGTAACAGATTTTGGATTGCAGTGAACTTTAATTTTAAAAATTCAGTTATTTACTGCAAACAACTATCGCAATATTGTCGACATTCCTATATTAGTAAATGGCAACCTTCTCACTGAGCCCACTGCCTTACGTCTTTTTGGATGATTGTTCACTATTTGCGTCTCATGGAAACTATATATACAATCAATTGCAAAGTTGGCATTTGCTAAAGTTGCTAAAGTTGAATTTCTTTCTTTTTTTTAGAAGTACTATCATGCTTCAAACCTTATTCTTGCTTGATAAATGATTTTTACTTAAATTGAGTTTTACTCTCTTATATAGTAATATAAAGCAATGCAAACAAATAATTCTTACAATAAAGCTTTGTAATAACTGAAAGAGGACTTATAACAAAATCTTCTGCCATTTTTTTCTTTATATCTATTAAATAAATAGATTAATAAATTAATATTATGACATGTCAAATTATATAAATAAAACTTAATGAATGTAAAAATCTTTGTTTTCATATTAAATTTTTTTTTGGAGTCAACGTACTTTAAAAATTGACAACATAAAATAGAATTTTAGGACACTTGCGAAAACCAAAATTCCGTTTACGTTTCTGTAGCAATAACTGAAAAATAATTAAATAAACTAAGTAAAATAATATTTATTAGTTTTGTTCCTAATTTTAAAATGCATTAAACTTATCAAATCCAAAATTAAATTGTAAAAATTCCTAATAACACATTAACTCCAAGCAGTTTAGTTGAAAAATTGTTGTTTTACAGAGGCAGAAAAGAAAAGTCTTCGTTGCATCAAATATCAAAATTCTTTAAAATTATTTTATCACAACATTCAAAAAAATGTAATCTGCATCACTATTGATTATTCTATCCATATTCTTTTCTCACTTGTTACAAGCGAAAACACTCGTTGCAAAGAAAAGTATGGATAGAAGAATCAATGCTTTAAAAATTGTTTAGCTTTAAGGTTGTTGTTATTATTATGCTAGTTATATTTCATTTTTTCATTAAATACCAGTATGAAAGGCAAATCTACTATTTTGTTCAAGAATAATATTGTTATTTTTTGAACAGTTTCATTTTACTTGTTTTTAAAAAATTGGTCACCAAATAATATCAATTTTTCCCGCGCAAAAAGTTAAAAAACATCTAATAATAAACCGATAACGTTACGATAAGGTGTTACGATTCATGACAATGCAGGGACCACTCTTGCTAAAATTTGATCAGGTTTGCTTATAGACAATTCTCCATTAGAGGCAGATTACATTGAACACACAGAGTCTGAGTTACAAGAACAACTCCTCTTGTCAAGGGATCAAAAAATGTCACATACGAACGAGCCAATTTCTTACGCAGATTGTAAAACAAAATGACAATAAATACTGTTTGAAACTAAGAAGTCACTATTTCATTGTGATAGTAAATAGACTTCTTCAAGTTGTTCAAACAAGCAAAAGTCTTAAAATTCCAGAAAGAACAACGGACCCAGCATGCCACCAATTTCCATCTCTACTCGCAGCACCAAATGTAAAAGTTGACGACATTTTCCCCCGCTTTTCAAATCCGTAACGGTCAATTCTATATGACTTGTCATACCAATGTTTTCCCCCAAATACCGGTGTCAACGCTCTATCAGTTTATTCCATAAAAGAACATTTTTATTTACCATGGCAAAATAGTTTTTGCTAATTTTTTAATTTCAGCAATGTTTCATGTTTTATTTGTCATAATTGGTTCAAATAAAAATTAAATACTATAAATATTTTAGTTTGGTATAAATATTTAAACTTGTATTTAGTTGTTAAAATAATTTTAAGGCTCATTTTTTTCAAATATTTCATTTAGAATGCGGAATAAATGCGAGGTAATAGTTACTTGATAGTAGTAATATAAAAAAGTTTTAATTACTATTATATTTAAATATAATAAACTACAATTGAACAAATGCTATATCTTTTTGGCAATTTTATAAATCACTAGTGAATAATTGATGTTAATTTAATGATAATAAGTATAATTATAATTTCATTTATTTTTGCTTCCCATTGTCTTTTTCCCATTAAAAATACATACATGACAATAATTTTGAAAAATATTTTATACTTAAATTTTGCGACGTCTTGACAAGACGTCACAAAAGTTTAGACTCCCCTAAAATATTACGTCACAAGTTGATAACCGCTCCCCCTCCTCTTGGATAAAAGTTGCATTATTTCGATAGGTAGCTAAATATAAAATATTTTTCAAAATTTTCGACCACCTCCCTCCCCCTTGTCACAATGTGACATGGTGGCATTTTATGCTTTAAAACTAAAAGAAAAGTCATAATTTAATTAAGTATATTGCAGTAAAATGAATAAAATTTGTACATAAACTTATTTATTTTGTCTTTAGAAAATATGCTCGCAGAAAGCTCAAACTAGTCTAAACTATTATCACTTAAGCGACATAAGTGATAATAGTTTAGAGAAAAATGCTCTTTTTGATTCTACGCTCGTTGATTTAATCGTCATTAAAAAATTATAAATTTTCTGAAGGCTATCACGCCGAGTACAACCACTTTCAAACAATGACATTTTTTTCGATAATTTAGAAGTATGAGTTTTGCCTAATCTTGACAAAGAATTTCTGGGTCCTGCTAAAAAACCATTTTCTACGGGTTCGTTTTGTTGCTCGATAATATTTTTCGGCATTTCATTATCTGCGCTTTTTGGTATTTCATCATTTTCTTGACTTATTAAACATTCAAAGTTGTCCAAGGAATTTGTAGGGTGATTTAAATTTGTTACATTTAATCTACTTAGAAGTTTCAACTTTACTTTTTTATTTTTAAAGTTTGAAGATGTTTTAAAAACCTAATCTATGGGCATTAATTTGTTTTCTCCGTAATGTAGATAGTGCAGTAGACTACTCAATTCAGTCCTTCGCTTTTTGATTCTGGAGATAATGCATTAAAAAGTCGACTTCTTGTTGTAGTATTTAATTTACTTAATTTAGTTAGCATAAACTCTAATGCAATGTCAGCAGTTATAAGGTTTGCATCGCGTTGCGAAAGCGCTTCCACTGCTGCTTTTACTTGTATTAGCACGTTTACCATTTCAGAAACAATTTCATACTCATTATCTGACATTTTTATAAAATCATTAAAACTAATATCAACAAGTGTCTTTTTTATGCAATTTTTTAACTTATGAAACCTTTTAAGCATTGATAGTAAGCTGCTCCATCTTGTTTTAAAATCTTTGATTAAATGAAGATTTTTTCCAGAGTCATTTTTTACGTATTTTTGAAGACAGTCATCATTTTTAGTTGGTGATCTTTTAAAAGCCATCACGATTTTTTTTAACTTTATTATTCACTGAAACAATCGCTTTGTTTGTAATTATTACGTCTTCAATTATTTGATTATCCACTATAAAGCAACTCTCATCACCATCTTCATCGCTATCTGGTTCACAGCTTTCACTAAATTCAGATTCATTTTCCAAATTTTTAGTGTGATTATTAATTTCCTTGACTAAATGTCTCTGTGTACAATTTGATGTTGACGTATTATATAAAACTGAAGTATCAGTTTTTTCTTGATTTAATTTTTTTAAATCTGGAACACTATTTAATGTAAAATGGCAAGACTTGTTTTTTCTTTATAAACACTTAAAGAACTTTAGAAAAGTTCAATATCCGACATATCCGGCAAAAATATCCGGTACACCTCTAATTTTGCCGACTACCGTGTCCGACTAATTTTAGGGGGTTAGACTAATGTTAGGGGGTTAGACACCTCCCTCGGGACTACCCTTAATGTATTTTTTACTTTTCTAAATTTCAAATAAAAATGTTACAATGGAGTAAACAAAAACAACAACAACAAAACAAACAAAAACAAAACAAACGAAAAAAACACAACACACAAACAATCAACAACAGCAAGCAAAGTAAACGTATAACTGAAACGGTTTTCCTTTTTTGTTTTTGTTGTTCTACGCTCCGTCGGTTTTTTTGATTTTTTAAATTTTATTTTAATAAAGTATCTTTATAAACAAATGATACTAAATTTAATGTTCCCGCTTACAAAAATCAATTGAACGTGATCAAAAAAATCAAGCTCAACTGAAGAACAACAATGAATACTACAAAACGGTAAATAGTGTTAAAAGCTGATACTAACCAAACGGAAATTTGTTATACCTCTATTTTTACAAGGAATTAGGGGATGCCATCATATTTCTATTTTTATTAATTAAATTATAAGAAATTATTTTCATAATTTTTCTGGAGAAACATGAGTGAAAACAATTTTGATAATCAAAATGACGATGATATATTACCTGCTACAATTCCGATTCAAACGAACACTGGATTGAGATTATCTGCGGTAGTGTACTTAAAATATTTTTAACATATTTTTTTTGAAGATTTATTGTTGTTTGTGTTTTACCTTTTTTTTTGTGGTTAATAATTGTTAAGCAAATTTGATAAACTTGATAAAATTTGCTTATAAAGTAACCAGAAAAAATCACAACCATAATACTAAGGTACTAAATAGCACCTAAAAAATGCAGTTAAAATTTTTTTATGTTTTATAGATGTTAATTATAATTTATTTTGCTCTTTATATTTGTTTATATACAATTCATAATTTAACAATATAAATGTTATTAAATTAAAATATGCAGCAATTTTCAAAATTGTTTTTGAAATGTTTATGTAAATTTTTTTTAAAACGCCATTGTTTTGTGTTCGTGTTTAAAAGCTTGGTTTTAAGTCTTACATCAGTTCTAATAAATACTTTTAGAGTAATTCTGTGTTAAGGTTAAAAGATTTATAAAAATAAAAAATGATAGAAATAAGTAGCATAATATTGTTAGAAAAATTGTTTTATGCAGATTACAAAACTAAAAATCAAAAAAGGTTTATAGGTGTATAAATTTTAAAAAAGTATTGTTTAATTTATTTTTTTAACTTTTTTGATTTAAAATACTTAAACCTTAAATTACCAAGTTAGGGTAAATTATTACCAAAAGCAAACTGTATATAAAAAGAGCGTCAAAAAGTTTTTATTACAGTTAATCATGCCTTTTTTAATTTTTGATCTATCAAAACTAGCTCTGATCGAATCAAAAAAAGCTTTGCATATGGAAAAAGATGTGAAAAAGTTTTTTAGAAATCTGTGTTGATTTTTCAAAGTTTTTTTTTGTGGTGACATACTTGTGTGATTTAGAATGGTTTTTGAAATAATTTCTTATTTTAATATGGCATGAAACATGATCTGCAAAACAGGTTTATTTCTGGTGTTAACCTAATTTACAGATCAGGAGAGAATATTTTTATTGTGGTACTAACACTTTGGACATGTTAGTATCATAATAAGATTTATTCGGTGATCCTACAGTTACGCGGCCTAAAATAGTTATATTTTTGCCAGGGGGTTTGCTACATTGATCTAATAAAAGAAAAAAGGTTGCTTCCCCATGCCAAACCCTCAGTCGATGTAGCAGCACTTCCTTGTAGCAGCAGGCTATAAGATAGTCGATGTAGCGGCACTCCGTTGTGAGTCAGGCTATAAGATAGTCGATGTAGCAAAACCCCCTGGCAAAAATATAATTTTTTTAGGCCGCGTAACTGTAGCTTTACCGATTTATTGTCCAAGGTATACAAGCTCCTCCTTTACCCAGTGTTTTTTTCCTACATAATTTGCCTTCAACACAGTTGAAAAAATTCTAATGGCCTCAAATTGATGAGGTACACCTTCTTGCAACTGCCATTTTAGAATCCAAGACAAGACTACTAAAGTACTACAATTTTTTAACTCTTGTGGATTTTGCTTAGTGCTTGTTTAGAATACTGCCATATGAAAAGTAGATATGGTGGCACAGTCACATATTTCAGTTGTATTTAGCTCTTTGTATCTCTGCAGAGATACAAAGAGCTAAATACATGTTTCAGTTGTATTTAGCTCTTTGTATCTCTGCACATGTTTAATCTAGTGTTTAAATCAACTGCTAAGATATTGAAAGTTCATGAAACTTATTTATTATTTTTATATTGTTTTAGTCACTTTGTTATTGGGATATGAAATAGCTTCTATAAAGTTTAAAAATTTTTGCATAACTGCTTAAAGACTATATATATCAAATTATTAATGGTTGCATATGTCACAATCTGTCAACAAATTTGGTTCATGGTCATGCTATAATTGCAAGGCAATTTCTACCAATCAGAATAATGTCAAAAGATGCCCTAGAGGTGTGAAATAAAAACTTCAAGAACTTTTGGGAACATTTTAGCAGAAAGGCCTCAAGAAAAGATAAAATTCAAGATTTGATTAATAGGCTTCTAGTATCCAGTGATCCCGTTATAGCATCTCTTAAAAAACTTAGAAAAGTTAAATAACAACCAAAGTTTACATCAATTTCCCAGCGAAGTTCTAGAGTTGGTGAGAGAATGGGCTTTGTAATTAGATGATTTGTAATATATAAATTAAGACAAGCTTTGTTTTCTTTTTTTTTTTTTTTTCGTATTTTTTAGATATTAATTATTTTTGATATAAAAAAAAACTAAAAATGATATCATTTAGAATGTGGGGGTAATAGGTTTTGAAAATGAAAAAATATAGAACTTTAGCCCAGATCATAATTAATCTATAGACTTTTCATCATAAAATATCTTTATGTTTAAAACATCACTAGTATTTTATGAGAACTTCAATCAACTCAAATATAAAAAATTATAAATCTATGTTATTCAAGTTCTTTAGTTAAATATATATATATATATATATATATATATATATATATATATATATATATAAATATATATATATATATATATATATATATATATATATGTATATATATATATATATATATATATATATATATATATATATATATATATATATATATATATATATATATATATATATATATATATATATATATAGTTTTGCCCACCTTAAGTCTATTATCCGGCCCACTGTGCACTGTAGCTAGAGCTACAAAATTTGTAATGTTTTTTCAAAATTTGAACAACAAATAATATTTTATATAAATTCATATTCATCAGGTTTGGTCGGGAAGCGGGAGCGATCGCTCTTGATTGCTGACCACGTAAATAATATTTAGTTGCAAAAAGCTGGCTAGATTTTTTAGTCGTTTTGAGAACATTTTAAAAAGCAAAAAAAAAAGCGCTAAAGATTAATTGGACCGATGAGAGACAATTACAAAAAAAAAAAAAAAAATTAGGCAAATAAAATATCTTTAAATGCGAAAAATCTTAAAGCTAAATAAATAACATTTAGAACAAATATTTTTGAAACATCGCTCTTTTATAATTTTTTTTATAAAATTAAGCGATGTTTTTTATATAAAGTAACAACTTACGATTGTTTAAAAGGGAAACAAATATTCTTTATTTAACAAAGTTTGCAAATTTTAGTTTTATTTAAGCTAAATTATCTTATAAATAAAAAAAGTTAATTTTTTTAATACCTATTTTATGTTATGCATAGTTTGAAAAGTTTAACATATTTGAAGCAATTCTTCTTAGTAAGATAAACAAATGAAATAATTAAATCATTGAATTACTATAGAAAATAAATTATCAAGATAGAGATCAACTAAAAAGGTTAAAAATACTTTGACGAGGAAGCGAAACTGCTTCACAATATCACTGATGATGTTTAGTGAGTGGGCTTTTTAATTTTAATTAGTATTTAAAGCAGAAAAAAGTATGAAGAGTTTTAAGAATGGCAACTTAAGCGAAAATAATTAGAGTTAGTAAACCAATATCTAGAAACTTTTCTCTAATTATTTGCTATATATATTTGTGTTATTTCGTGACCTCAGGCGCGGTGCTTGTTCATCCGGGAGTTACTTTGTATGCGTTGTTTGTGTTTAGTAACCAGAAACTTCTTATATGTTTGTTACATAATTAGTTTTATTACCTTTAACGATTATAACTTCAATTGAAAACGCAATTATTCTTGTAAGTCTTTGTTTAAATCATAAAAATTGCTTTAAAAGATACATTATGATAAAAAACAAATACACAAAATTACATTTACATAAAGAATACAATCTCTTTTTAAATAAAAAATAAGAATATACTTATAAAATCTATAATTTATAATAAACTTTTAAAATTTTGACAATTTAATTAATATATATTTAAAACATTTATTTTTGTAAACAAATAATATATATTCTTAGAACAATTTATGCTAGAAATCTCAAAACGTAACAAATCGTGAATGATACAATTTCTAAAACATTTCAACAGAATACTCTAAAACTTTATTTCGCTTAATCAGCGTACTTTTTGAACCAATAGAATTAGTTTGTTTGTTAATTTGGTGGGTTTTTAGTGTTCGCGAATATTCTTTTATTCTTTTGCACAAAGATGTTTTAAGAACATTCAAGTTTTTTATGTTTCCATGTATGTCCGTAAATCAAAAATATTTTGTTTTGTACATAAACTTAAATGATCTCAAAATGACTAAAAAACCTGGCCAGTTTTTTGCAACTAAATATAATTTCCGTGGTCAGTATTCAAGAGCCATTGCTCCCGCTTCCCGACCAAGCCTGATTCATGTACATGCTCTCACATGGATGTATATGCGGTTTTTTAACTAAAAAAATAAAAGATTATTTGATAGCTCAAATACAACTTTTAACTTGACTAGTCCTCCTGGAAATTTTTTTGCGTATTTATTACACCCAGGATAATAGTCTAATCCTCACAACACTTTAATAAAGACAAAAATTTTATCAATAGATATGGAAAAAGAGGACTTATGTTTGTCTTTTGGTGAATGGGTACTGGTGTGTTATGATAATAGAAATTTTTCTACTAAAATAAGTAATGTAGTTGTTCAAAAATATGTAGTCACTGATGCCCTGATGTAAATAAAATGCACAAATAGTATCCAAACAAATCTATATTAACCAAAATGTCGTATTAATTAGGATATTATGTCTTGGAAGTTGTTAGATCTTTATGTCAAATTTTTTTTTCCATTTTTACTTAAGTCATTTGAAAAAATTTTAATTGACCTTATACCCCCTCTCCCTTATATAGTACCAAAGTGACATCTTATGACAATATTTTACTAAGAATTTCTATAAGAAAACTCCTTTTCACAGAGAGTACATAAAAAATTTAAACTGACACAAGTTTTATAATAGGCACATAAACAAGTTTCTGAATAAACTTAGTTTAGCGTTTGAAATATCTAGTTAGCATTTTAAATATTTAAACTTTTTTGTATATATTTTTTTATAGCTGAATCCAAAATATCTTCATACAAATTCAACCAGTCATACATGGCCCTTCAGTGCTATAGCAGAACTTGTTGGTAAGGTATCATAAGTCAAGTAAAATTTAGTTTTACTTAAGTTGAGTTTCGATGTTCTATTTATTGTCACTTAAATATATTTTTTAAAAGTTATTTGATTTTGATTTTTACATAATCACCTCACTCATTTATGCGCATATATAATTAGATTTGTTAGCTGCAAATATGTGGAGTCCCAAAAAGACTCTGGCTTTATATCTCTATTTTTTTCTGGTCAATGGTGTCCAGCTGCTCCAAACATGATAGTTGACTTATGACCTACTATAAAAAAAAAATTCAAATTTTTTTGTTTTTAAGCCTGGAGTTCTTTCTGCCATTGTACCTTAGGACTCTAGGTTCATAAAGTAACCAATTAACAAGCGCAATTGTTTTAAGAAGCCAATAAAGTTTCGCTAAATCATTTACACGCATTTAAACTTTTTTGTATTTATATTTCTTGCTTGTATTTTAAAGTTAGTTTTAAAGTTAAATTTATTAAAAAGTAGGTTCAAAAATAAAACTGCAATTTAAAGAAATCTTTTAATATCAAAGGTAAATACTTATGGTTATTATATCTAGAGTAATGTTTTAAACTGTTTATATTACATAAGTTTTGATTTGCAATTTCTGAAGTAGATTAAAATATAAAACTTTTCGATGGAACTAATGGTTTTACTCAATTCCTGAGATTCCTGAATTCATGGCCCCCAAATCTTTTCAAAAGAGTTTTATTTCTTTCTTTTTTTATCAAAGCAGGTTTTTAATAGTAAGTTTTAATATTTTAGGTTTTTTTGATGCTTTGGCCCCCACTAAAAACTCACGCTGTTGCCCATTACTCTGAGTGTAATACTTTAATACAGTTTATATATATAATTAATCTACAAAAATGCCGAAAGTAAAGGTTGCAATTACAAGGATGAAAAGTGAAAAAAAAATATTGTGGCGGCCCATGTGAACTATCAACGACAGATCCAAGCACTTTTAGACAGGTTATTCAGTATTATTACTATCTTATTCATATAAATCCAAATGCAGATATCGTATTAGTGACTTAGCAAATTAGCAATAATATAAAATCAATTTGGGCTACAGTAAACCCAAGATTACCTCTTATAACTGACAAATCTATTAATAGGAAAGTTAAAGATCTTCTCGTACTTGTAAAAGGTATTAATCGCAAGCACGGAAAAGCAAGCGCTAAAAGAAATCTTGATGCAAACTTGGACAAACTTTTTGATATTTCTGCGTGTTCCTGTTCATTAGATGTGTTTCCCTGTAGTGACAGAAAAGTTTCATGTAATAAAGAAAATTGCATCGAAGAACATATTGTATGCCTTTGTTCTCAAAGTAATAAAGTACCTCTGTAAGACAGAGCTTATCTTCGTGATCAGAGGAAAAAAAGTGGTCCAAAAGGCGCATATCAACTTTCTTCCGTCGATAGATTATCTGTCAAAAGGATTCAAAGCCTTGATAAAGAACGACAAAAAATATCTCATAAGCTTGTTAATGAAGACGAATCGCTCATAGCACAAGTAAACTTAATTGAAGAAACAAGTGGTTTGACCAATATGGAGGTAAATATTTTATAAATACATGAAATATTTGTAACAGATGAAACAGAAAGCGTTTTATTTTATTAACCCTTTTTAGGATGAAGGTGAATGGAAACCAGTAAATAATCCTATTGGAAAATACAACTTAGTTAAACTTTCAAGATTTGCAATGGAATTAGTCAGAAATGAGTGTTCGTCAAACGTAGGTGCAACCCTAGCAAATGCTTTACTACATGACATAAAACATCTCTTGAAAAATTACGTTGATATTAAAGATATTTTGATTGACAAATGCAAGTTAGATAGGGCCAAGTCAAAAGTAAAAATCGTTAGTGAAGAGGTGGACTCGGAACAAAAAAAACAGTTAATTTGTCTTGGGGTTGACAGCAAGCTCGATTAAATAACTAAAACAAGTATAATAATAAACTTACCTCAAGGAGAAGTACTAAAGAAATGCATTGAACCTGAACATCACCTCACATTTACTTATGAAGATGGAAAATCGAGTGGAAATTATTTGACTCATAGGACGATTCCTGTCACCGGTGCTACAGGTTTAGTTCTTGCTACCTAAACGTTTAGTGTTTTACAAGAACATAACAGTTTGGAAAGTATACAAGCTGTTCTTCTTGATAATACTGCTACCAATACTGGACCAATAAGTGGCTTAGTGGTAAAACTAGAAGAGTTTTTAAAAAGAAAACTTCATCTAATTGGATGCGCATTACATCAAAATGAACTTCCGTTAGGAGCTCTTTTTGTAAAACTTGATGGTGACACAACTGGGCCAAGAAGCTTTAGTGGTCTACTTGGCAAAAGATGTGCTGAAAATATTCAGGATAAAAATCAAGTTTTTTTTTTTTTTTTTTTTTTTTTTTTTTTTTTAACATCTTCACTTCCAACAAGGCTGCAAGCAACCACTATAAGAGTTGGAAGTTACTGGAAGAGAAAAGACTAAATCTGTAGAGCAAGATAACGATTGACTGATGACTTAAAAGATTGCAAATTATATGAATCAGGAAAGCAAGATGAAGGAAGCGAATTCCAAAGAACTGGTGTTCGAGGAAAAAAACTAGAAGAATAAGAGTTTTTGAAGCACTTAGGAACAGTCACAGAAAAAGGATGAGACTTAATTGAATGGCGAGTAACACGAGAATGAATTTTAGTAGATGGCACAAGGGACGCTAGCTCTTTAGAGCAGTGCCCATTATAGTATTTGTAGAAAAGAGAAAGAGAAGCAACATTACGACGATGTGACAAAGGTTGGAGATTGGCTGCCAGAGCAGGTCCAACTATGTTTACAATTCGTTTTTGCACCTTGTCTAAAAGAGAAAGAGCATCATTAGAAGATCCGCCCCAGATGTGGCAACAGTATTCCATACAGGGACGGATTTGAGATTTATAGAGATAGAGAATAGAATCTGGAGTAAGAAAGTGTCGAGCTCAATAAAGAGATGCAACCTTAGCAGATGCTAATTTTGCAATGGATTTGATATACGGTTTAAAAGAAAGATCAGAAGTAAGAGTTAATCCTAGAAGATGAATGGTAGATGACTCATCTAGTACATTACCATTCATAAATATAGGAAGATCTAAATTATTACGATAACGATTGGCCGAATAAAATTGAGTTTTATCTGAATTAAAGTTCACCAGCCACTGTGAGCCCCATGCTGTAGCAGAAGTGAGATCCTTTTCAAGCTCAGATACCCCCTCCAAGCAATCAGAGAGTGTAGGCTTCTTATCATGACAAGAGTAAATGGTAGTGTCGTCAGCGAATAATGCCACCTTAGATGTGAGAATGTCTGGAAGATCGTTAATGTAAATTAAAAAGAGTATAGGGCCAAGGATTGAACCTTGAGGAACCCCTGAAGTTACAGGATGTGAAGAAGAGTGTTGTCCATCGAGGACAACTTTTATACTACGATTGGAAAGAAAGGACTCAATAATCTTAAAGACGTTACCAGCTACACCATAAGAAGAAAGCTTATGGAGAAGACCAGCATGCCAAACTTTATCAAAAGCTTTAGAAATGTCAAGTGCGATAGCCTTAACCTCTCCACCTCTATCTAATGCACGGTAAAACCTATCGGTTATTACTGTTAGCACATCAGCTGTAGAACGAGAAGACCGAAATCCATATTGATGATCAGAAAGTAAGTTATTTGATTCAAGATGAGAGATTAAGTGTTTGTTGATTAAAGATTCAAAAACCTTGCTTATGACAGGAAGAAGACTAATGGGACGGTAGTTAGATAAATCAGATCGCTCTCCGGAATTTTTCGAAAATAGGGATAACAGATGCTGCTTTCCAGCATGATGGAAAACAAGACTCTGATAAGCACTTGTTAAATAGTTTAGAAAGTATGGATGAAAGCTCCGGAGAACACCTCTGCAAAACTACAACAGGAATGTTGTCAGGACCACAAGCTGTTGAAGAGTCTAAGCAGGAAATTACTTTAGATACAGAAGCTGAAGTGATACGAATGTCAAGCAAGGGATCAACCTGTTTGACGGCTATGTCAGGTAAAACGCAACTAGTGGAATCAAGAGATGATATTGATGAAATTCTTAGCAAACAATTCAGCTTTGTCTTTAGGTGAGGTGACAAAGTCTGAACCATACAAGAGAGAAGGAATAACAGATTTGCCCTTATTATTGATACTGTTAAAGATTCTCCAGAAGTCTCGAGAGCCTAATTTTTGTGATGAGATACGAGATTTAATGACCTGGGAATACCGAGCTTTGGCGTCAGACAAAACCTTTTTACAATGGTTTCTGGCAATAGTGAACAGATGTCTGTTTTCTGGAGAATTGTTTTGCTGATAGATATGGAAGTAACGGTTTCGATTAGAAATTGCTGCAGCGCAATGTGAGGAAAACCAAGGAGAAGAGTGAGGCTTGACCTGGAATCGTCGAGAGGGAATAAAAGATTCCATGCCAGCCTGAATCCACGAAGTTATGTAAGAAGCACATTTGTCAGCAGGAAGACGAAAGATTTCTACCCAAGGGCCATCACGAAGAAAATCACGGAAAGAGTCCCAGTCAGCTTTAAGGTAGTTGTATGTGGTACGATGGTAGGGGGATTCTGATGAAGTAGAAGAATTTGATAATAGTTTTAGAGAGATCAAACCGTGATCAGAAGTACCTAAGGGTGAATGTGGAGAAATTGAGCACTGACTAGGATCCAAAACAAGACATAAGTCGAGTAGAGAAGGTAAATGATTAGGGTTGTCTGGAAAACAAGTTGGAAAGTTGACTATTTGAGTTAGAGATTGAGAAAGGCAAAAGTTGAGGGCCTTAACGCCAGCAGAGTCACTGACACTAGAGCCAAGCCAATCGGTGTGATGGGCATTAAAGTCACCAACAACGACGATATTGGCCGATGGATAAAGAGAGAGGGCTTGGTCAATTTGATCAGAAATAACATCAAGAATAGTGCAATCTTGGGATGAAGGAGAGCGATATAGAACAAAGAGAAAGGCGATAGAGTGAAGTTGTGCTAAACGAAAGCACATAAATGAATAGTCTGTAGATTCAAACCTAGTTTCACGACAAATGGGTGAGTTCTTACGAATGTAAATGCCCAGGCCAAGCATGTGATTATTGGAGTCTTTACGAATTAAAGGAAGATAACCATCAACACTAAGATCACAAGATGGGACAGCCGAACTCAAATTAGTCTCACAAAGAGCAAGTAGGTCTGGTGAACTTTGCAAGAGATAAGACTCAACAGAAGAAAAGTTACTTCGAAGACCACGAATATTAGTAAATGATAGGTTTAGAGAACTTGGTGATGACGATGGTTTTTTGTGTTTTTTAGTTTTAGGTACTTTAGTCATTTTAAATTTATAAAGAACTTGACTCAAGTATAGATAGTACTCAGTACACTATTTAACAACTAAGCAATAGCCTCATTACTATTAATAAACCCTAAGCCGTAACAAAGGGCTCCAAATGTGGCCTCTGCAATGCACACCAAAAGTACAAACAGGGACACCATCCATGCGCAACATGGCACTGTTAGTACTCTGATATTTTTCGGCTGTTGATGGAATCAGCCTCTCTGAGAGCTACCATAGAGTTCGGGAAACCTGACTACCAGCCGGCCTCAGAACCATAAAACTGAGTTTTAGAGCTGTACCCTCATTAGGAGATAATAGAATGAGTTGCCCAGTCATAAAAATAGAGACACAAGCAATACCCACGCATTGAGTCAAGAAGATCCAGCGTTCAACATCCTAAACTGGAAACAATGTATTAAAAATACATCTGCGCCAGCCTAATAATCGTATTAAAAACCCAATTGTAGATGGATATATTCCAGAAGAAATTCTAGTAGACCTTAGTTGCGATCAAAGACTTTTATTTGAATATTGCAAAGGAGTAGGCTTTGGTAAAGTTTCTGATAAATGGGCCGCCTATAAAATTGGACCGCTTAATCATGCAAGGTGGTTAACTCTAGCTATTCGCCTTCTCTGCTTGTATACTAGAGACAATCAACCAAGTGTTTCTTTAAAAAAACTTGTATGTTTTATTGTTCAGGTTTACGCTCCAGCGTGGTTCGATATAAAAAAATCTTCAAAATTTCACGAATCCCCGCGCCATTTTTTCTACTATCACTAGAATAAATAATCTCCCCTTTGATGATGTTAAATATATTGTTAAAAAAAACATTAAAAACAATGCATTGTGCCTAAAACCTGAAAATATTCTTTATGCCATGTTAAAAGATAATGACAGCAAGATACGAAACTTTGGTTTTCAAATCCTACTGGGTCTAAGGCAAAGGTATTTTTTTTATAGTAAACTAAAATAAAGTTTTGAAAAAAAATGATACATTAAATGTGGTAATTGGATTTGATTTATATTTATAGAGTAAACAACGAAAGTTTGGAAGTAAATTTGAAAAAAATTCCAGAAATTAATTTTAATGCTAATCATTGGTATGAGTTGGTAGACATCAGCATTACTAAATTTACGGAGCCCCCAACAACACAACATTTTTCAATTGAGCAAATCCAATATGCGATTGACAATAATGTTAAACCTGAAATCCCCGTCTTTCCATCTCACTCCCAGAGTGTTGAGCGAGCGGTAAAACTTGTGTCGGACGCATCCCAATATGTTTATGGATTCAAGAATCGACACAGCTGCATTTTAACTAAACTACTTATTAGGAAGATGCGTAAACCTTATATTTCAAAAAGGCATTATTCCCATTCTTATTATGATATTTTTTAATTGAAAATGTTTTCCTAAAATATATATATCCATAGCCAAAATCTTTTAATTTGTGAAAATGTTTATTTGGATATTCTTATGTAAATATAAGAATAAAAGTTTCACTATTTAAATCTTCAAATAGTTAACAAGTTGATATAAATTTAGCTTAATTGTTATAAACTGTTATAAACTTAAATCATACAGCAAAGCAAATTGTATTGAAAAACATTTAAATATGAACTTAGTTAAAACGTCAAGTTTTGCATATAACGCTTTTTAAGGTGTTTTTTTACATAATCCAACAAATCTTAAAAATTAAATCCGCAAGCGATTCTTTATCCAAAATCTCTCAAATTTTGAGAGTAATCGTATTTTAACTGTCTACAACTACTGCAATATTATGCAATATGCGGAATTAAAATCGACCTACCCTAATATATATATATATATATATATATATATATATATATATATATATATATATATATATATATATATATATATATATACACTGAGGCATATTCGTTTAGACGCATCAATTTCTTCCTCTTTATCTTAATTTTTTTCTATGAATTGTCAACTGATATGCATGCAAGTTTTTATCAAAATAATTGTTGTGTTGTGGACTAATAAAAATCACAAAAAAAATTTTTCTATGTGTCTTTATTAACATGAGAGTAAGTTTGATATACAAAAGCACATTTTTTAATTGGAATATATCTATAGACGCAATCAGGTTAATAACGGTAGTTATTGATTTTTAATCACTTTTACACAAATAAATTGATAAATTTTAGTGTAATTTGATCTTTTCCTCTGCCAGTATCATTTTTGATGCATTTTGCAAAATGCTTAAAGGAAAGTATTTGACAGATGCTGAAAAAATACAAATTAATTTATATCGCGGCTCAGAAATATTACCAACACTTTCTATACGAGAAATAGCAAGAAAAATTGGAAGATCTGACCATGTTGTACGAAATTACATTGCAAATAGTGACAATTACGGTGTAAAAAAAGCAACAAACGACAACAAAGTATTAACAATTTGGCAAATTAATCGAATTCGCTTCGAAGCAACTAAAAATAAATTGAATGCAACGCAAGTAAAGGATAAATTATTATTGCCTGTCGCCAATAAACATGTTGCACATATTCTACGTACAACACCAAACGTAAAGTGGAACAAACCACACCAAAAACCAATGTTAAAAAAACACCATAAAATTGCTAGATTACAGTTTGCTAAAAACCATATGCATTGGACTCATGAGTGGCAAAACGTAATATTTTCAGATGAAAAAAAGTTCAATTTAGATGGTCCGGACTCTTACAGTTGTTATTGGCATGATCTAAAAGAAGTAAATGACCCACAAACAAAACGAAATTATGGTGGAGGAAGTTTAATGGTTTGGGGTGGATTTTCTTATTCAGGAAAATTGACTCTGTGTTGTGGTTTACCTAAAATGAACTCGATAAAATATACAAAAATGTTGGATGATGTTCTCATAACTTATATGGATGAAAACATGGACGATAATGCCATATTTCAGCAAAATAATGCTGCAATTCACACACCTAGCATTCTATGTAATGGTTTAAAGACCACAACATCCTGGTTCTCGAATGGCCAGCTTGTAGCCTGGACTTAAATCCAATCGAGAATGTGTGGGGACTGCTAGCAAGAAAACTTTATGACGCTAAAGCAGCTGGACACCAATTTAAAACTGTTACTGAGTTAAAATCCTTGAAAAATGGTCCGAGTTGGATCAAACTACACTTCAACGACTAGTGGAGTCAATGAAAGGCAGAATTTATGAGGTGATCCAGTGTAATGGAGGACATACGCATTACTAATTTCCATCTTTTAATGTCAAAAATATGACTGCGTCTATAGATATATTCCAATTAAAGAATATACTTTTGTATATCAAACATACTCTCATGTTAATAAAGACACATAGAAAACTTTTTTTTGTGATTTTTGTTAGCCCACAACACAACAATTATTTTGATAATAACTTGCATGCATATCAGTTGACAATTCATAGAAAAAAATTAAGATAAAGAGAAAAAAATTGATGCGTCTAAACGAATATGCCTCAGTATATATATATATATATATATATATATATATATATATATATATATATATATTATATATATATATATATATATATTAATTATATATACACATACATAAAAAGAAAAGCTAATTTTTTTTTTAGACAATGCGTATGACCCTGATGTAAAAGCAAGTCAGTTATATATTGATTTTAAGTATTTCAAAGATGAGCTTACCTTAACTTTTACTGATAATGGCAGTGGCATGGATATAAATAAATTATACAAAATGATCAGGTATCTCTAAATTAAAATTTTGGTGCTTTTGAAATTTTGAAAATAAATGTATTCAGAATATATGAGTACTGCTTTGAAATCCCTTGTAGTTAATATATATATATATATATATATATATATATATATATATATATATATATATATATATATGTGTGTATATATATATATATATATATATATATATATATATATATATATATATATATATATATATATATATATATATATACAGGCTTCGGCAGGAATGACGGGCTATAGCCCGTGTCCGTCTCCGCACCCGTCTAAATCAGTTTAGACGGGCGAAATAAAGCCCGTCTGAAACATAAGTTTTGTGTAAAAAAAAAGATGAATATTTTGATGTTTTTTTATTAAGATACTCTTTTAAAACTTCTCTCATGACATAATTTTAATATGGATAGCAAACTCCAACTTATAATTGTTTATATTTAAATATAAAAATTAAACAATTTAATCATTATTGTATAACATGATGTAGAAAATAATATAACTTAATCTTACAGTTTTTTAAACGACGATAACTGTTTGATATAATACCAAACTATACCATATTACCATATTATGTTCAAAATTTAATAACTATTATATTAAATAGGGAAATATACAAATGTGATGCACAAGAAGTATCATGTTGTTTTGGTTTTTCAATGTTTATAATAATAACGATAATAAACTAATTATCCATGTATTTCGCTTTTTTTCGATAAACTAGTTTGTCTTACTTTAAAGACATTTAAAGTGATATTTCTGCGTTAACTTCCGCGTTAAATTCACGTTTTTTCTTAAAGAGACGGCAGTTTATTTAATATGCAATTATATAACTCGTTATTGAAAATGAAATATCTCATTAAAAATCAACAAACATCTAATCAATTTTTGTAGATAATATAAATAGTGTTGCTTTATAGTTATGAAGTTATTCAAGTTATCCAGTCATTCAAGTTTTTCAAGTTATTCAAGTTTTTCAGTAAAGATAGTAATGGCATCATCTGGTAGAAGAGTTACATTAGCAACATTTTTGAGTTGGGGTAAAGATGGAGTCTGTGGAAAAGAAACTGAGGTGGAGAATGGAACAATTTTTGTTGTGAAGATATGGTGTATGGTTTGTATAAAATATAAAAAAGAATTGCTTCGCGAGTTAAAAGGTCTGGCAAAATCAAAAGCATTAGCATTTATAGAGGGCACTACGAACGTTAAAGCTAGCAACATACATACGCTTATATACATGCTTATATTGTATATAAAGTAACGGAAGCCCCGGTATCTTAAGAAATTATTAGTACTTCTAAATAAAAACTTATTTTATTAAAAGAAATTAGATTTCAAATTTTTTATTCACGTATCAGAATAACTATTTCCGATCAGGATAGGCATAGGTAAAGCAAAGTTATAAAAATATAAATAACAGTTTAAGTTTTTAATTTGCACGCCCAATAGAATGCAAGAGTATATAAATAATTGAATTTGAAAAATAACATAGTTACGTATCATATTATCAAGCTAATACCAAACAATTCTAAAACTATCGAGCTCATTGATTCAAGGTTAAAAAAAAAAAGATTTCAAACTATTTGCTGAATAATTAAAAAAATTAGATTTTGAAAATATTATGTAATATTTTTATTCACAAAGAATAAGTGAAACGAATGAACTAAAAAAGCACGATAAAAACCTGTATAATTTATTCGAATACTTGAATAAAACAATAATATATAAATATACTCAAAAAAACTTCGGTAAAAAAACACGTTAGGATGCTTGAATAAGGAAACGTGATGAAACGCCATGGTTGTTTCGAGGATTTTTCCCGTCGTTTTTACGTTCATTCGTTTGACTATATCTGCCAGATATTATCTGGAATAAAGATTAAAAAAAAAAAAAAACATAAAAAACTGAATAAAGTTCCTTCGAGTAAGAAATCTAAACAAAAGCAACCATAAAACAACTAACCCACGTGAAACGAAATTAGATCTGTGCAAGTGAAAACTTTGAAAAACAATTATTGAAATCTTAGTTTTAAGTATTATCCAACTCATTTACTGCAGTGTTTAAATTACTTAAGTAATTAAGCATTTTGAACAGTTAATCGCTTTCTA